CTGTTGCATTTTGACCACAGTATGTTGTGATTGTAGGGGGCGCTGTTGCATTTTTACGCCATACTTTGCAATATCTGATAAATGCTATCATATTCTGTGTCCGTCTATATTTCCATAATAGTCGTGATATTAGTGGTCAAATGTTACTTTTTATTATTTGGAGGAAGGAGAGTCAGTTTGATGCAACGAATACCTGGCTTGTTCGTCGTTTTCTTTCTTTTTCCTTTTACCTTTAAAGCGCAATGTATGGTGTAAAAATGCAACAGCACCTCCTATGATCACAATATACGGTGGTCACAGAATATGGTGTAACACCTGACACCCTGCAAGTGAAAAACCGCAAAGTTGAAACGCTATATTTATTTTAGTATTCATATATATTTTAAGGCTTTGTAAACCCTTCCCACACTCTTGCAATGTTTTAAACTCTTTAACTTATGTAATTTTAACAACATACATACAGTGGTTATTTTGAGCGGGATCCTGCTGGAACAATATCCGAGAACTTCCTCATTTTCACCATGTAAACTGTTCGTTCAGATCCGGCAGCTCATATCGCTGCCCATAAAAGTCCAAAGTCATTGTGCATTTTTATATTGATAATTTATTAAAAATACGACGGCGGGAGACGTCCATGTCTGTGGAGTGGATGTTACTGCTGCAGCAGGAGCACCAGCTCGCATACACGCTCCTGCCTGCAGAGACACTGACCACATGTCTCGCTGGGATGAAGCGTCTTCATCCACCTTCAGCTGTGTCTCAGAAACCAAAGCAGCACAAACGAAAATTTTAATGGCACAAACCATCACAAACGTAACACTAACCACTCGTTGTATTTAATGGCATATGTGGGGTGTCAGCTTCACCTTGCTTAGCTGTATGCCCTGCAGACAGTGCACGTTTTATGCAAAGGAGCGTCTCCAGACAGCTCTACGGAGCGCGCACAACTGCCAACGTGTCATAACTCCTGCATACATTTCAAAGATAATAAATAAAAAGCTTACAGTAAATAAATAAATATATATATATATATATATATATATATATATATATATATATATATATAGATGAGTGAAATGTTTGATGTGTATTATTCACATTGCACGTTTCAAAATTAGTCAAAATAATGGCAATCAAAATGTCGAAAAGACCGTCCAATTTATTATATAAAATAAATGGATGGATGGATTGTCCTTAGCTGGGCAACTGAGAATTGAAGCTCCTGAAGGCAGTGGTAATAGAGACTGGAGCAGAACAACGCGCAGGACAGAATTCAGCTGAGAAGAGTTCAGGTCAGACAGTGAAGTTTGTGTGTGTGTGCTGGGGGGGGGGGCACTTGACAGAATCGGGGCTGCTCTATTCACTGCTCTCTAAAATAGTCATTTCAATTCAACCTTTATTTATACAGGTTGTTAGTCTCATTGAGCCTCGAGGACTTATTTAGAAGAGAGACCGGTTTTTAATAAATTTAATCAAATGTTTACTGATGTTTAACAACCTGTTAAAATACACCAAAATGCAGGAAATGGCATCTCTTTTATTCCAAAATTTCTGGGAGAGGACCTTTGAAACCCCCCTGCCGGACCATTTGCTATTTGTGTTCCAACATCGTTTGGTTTACAAATTACGCCCTGCATACATGTACTGTACTGCATAGTATCTACTGCAAAATTTTGTATGAGTACTCACCAGCCTTGGTCCCATTCTGGTCGGATTTTGATTGGCTCTCTGCAGCCATTGAGCACTAGATGCTTTTGGAGAGAGCCGGACCTTTGGAGAGCCAGCACAAAACCACACCATGGTCCCAATTGAGTCCAAATAATCAGAGAAATCCTGATGAAAAAAGTCTGAGTGAGCTCCGCAGAAGTCACCGGACCTCCAAGCAACACCTCCCCGCTTGAGAGGCTTCATGGGCTGGCAAACAGCACTCAGATTGACCGATGAGGCTGGAAGTAGCCTTGGTTCTGGTCTGGTTCTGATCGGCTCTCTGCAGCTGTTGAGCACCAGACGCTTTTGGAGAGAGTCGGACCTTAGGAGAGCAGATTTTTTTTAGGTCATCCTGCTTCTGTAGCAGCATTGTTTCTTCACTTCTCATCTTAACACATGGAAAATGACCATATATTTGAAAGTAGAAGTTTGCTCATGACCAAATTTAAGTTAATTACTGTATATTTTGCACTTGAGTAAATATGGTGGTTTGATATTCTGGCAGACTTTCTATAGGTCTTTCATTTAAACCTGATAGCTGTTTTTATTGCAATGAGGCACATTTTAAAAATAATAATTTTGTGATGTTTATTTGTGAAATCTAGACTAAGAACTTTACTATTCTTAATGTGATTATACCTAATAAAGATCTGCCTTGAACATATTATCCTGCATTTGGTTTTGCTTGTAAATGAGGAGAATCTTTGAAACTACCACGTGCAAAATTTTAACAACAATGGAAAATGTATCATTTGATAAAGTCGTAGGATTTTAATATTTTTTTCTAAATATAAAGTTCAGTTGTAAACAAACAAAACTGCAATTTACAGCAGTGATCAGTAAAACATCTTTTCCTTTCAAGTGTAAACATTTGCCTCCTTGTCATCAGCATTTGAATTGGCTGTGTTTGACTATTTATGTGAATTTGATTTGCAAATTCTCATGTGCTGAACTCCTGAACTTTGAAGGAAATTTATATATTTTTTACTCGCTGCCATGTTTTAGGATTTAGGAATTTTTTATTGTCACGTTCACATGCAAATAAAATCCTTTCAAGAGTTTGAGGTGCACAAATAAGGAAACTGATAAACCTTGGGATGTCATGTCTCACAAAAGAAATGTCACCACTCCCCTGGGCGATTCTCATGCTGCATCGCAGCAGTAATGATCCAAGAGATTTGGAGAAAATATTTTTAGTTGGAAATTTTCTGACATGACAGACAAGGTTTGGAAGACCTTTTCAGCCAATCTTGTTCGTTAATTTTTTTTTCCCGTCTGTTTCCTTTATAAGGGTTACCACCATGAGTCATCTGAGCACTAACATCTCAACACTTTAGTGTGCTTTAACAAACTATTAGACAAGATGCAACATCTTCACAAGTATTTTTCTTTTAAGACTGTGACATTGACTCTTCTCCTTTATGGATTAACTTCCCAATATGCCCCTTTCCTTTGTAGTATAAGCTGGATTAAATAGGTTACTTTACTGACTACTTGCTCTAGCTAAGTTAGCTTTTTTTCCCCCCTTCAATGCAAGTTTTGGTTGTTTAAGCAAAGTTATGATTATAAATGGACACTGGTTCTTAACTTAAATCAGTGCCTCCTAATGGGGAAACACAGTGTTTATAGCAAAAGAGAAATAAACCATGATTGTAAGTTATCTAGAGGAAGAGGTTAGCCAAGAAGAAACTGGACAAGGAAAGGACTGAAGAGACTAGACAGAAATGTACAGAGTTTCACCGTAGGACAAAGAGGGAGGTAGCAAAGGTAAAACAAAAGATGCATGATGAGTTGTACAAGAGGCTGGGCACTGAGGAGGGAAAGAAGAACTTGTATTGACTGATAAAACTGAGGGGTCAGGCTGGAAAGGATGTGCAGCAGGTTAGGCTTGTTAAAGATTGGTTATGTTCTGACAAGCCAGGAGAGTGTGATGGGAAAATGGAATGAGCACTTTAAAGAGCTAATTGAATGAATGAAGAGAATGAAAGTGAAATAAACTGTTCTTGGTTTTAATAAAATAATCTTACTGTCAGCTGGCGGCTTGTATGAATTAAACTACACCTAAATGCCAAGAAGCAAATTAACAATTTTTTGTTAATTTTTTATAGTTTCAAATCTTAACATCATATTTGTTCCAACAATATTAACAATTTTGTTTTCTTTGCAAGTGTTTTATGGATTAATTTCCATCACTGTGTTGTTGTTTTTTTTCTTCTTCTTCTTTTTTTCTGAAATTCTACCCAGTAATAATGATTATGTTCAAACCAGTGTGTTTGAAGCAAATGTTGACAAAGTGAAGAGTTCGCAGTTCTCCCCTCAAAAGATTTGACAACTTGGTTTGCAATGCTTTGATCTACAGTAAATTTACAATTTCCAAACTTGATTGTGACTCTCAATTTTAATCGGATTGTGAAAATGACGCAGCCTCCCATTTTGCGTGAACGTCATGAGCTGATCTACATGTCACTGTTGTGTTCAACGTTTGGATTGATTTATTTTCAGATTTAAATATGGCAGTGGAACGACGACAAACCCAGCAGAGTCCTCCACGAAGGTAAAGTCACGCAAAATGGGTGTGAAGAACTACCGTCACCTCCGAGGTGTCGATCAAAAACCTATTTATTTTTCATCTGCACTTTTCTCTAAGGGTTGAATAACACATTTTGGAAGCTGCCCCACTTTTGAATGAGTTTGTAATGTTTGATAGAACGGTCAACATTTCACACAGTTACCATTTTGTGATGTGTTGAAATAAAGAAGGGAGGTGTAAAATGTGTCTTTGTCTCAAATATTCCTGACATTTTTTATGCGTTTATGTTTAGTTTTCTTTCCAAAAAATATATTTTGTCATTCCCCTCCATTAACTTTTGGCTAAAATAAGAAACATTTCCTTTATACCACAATGAATTTAGCCTCACCTTCTTTGCAATATGTGGATTTATATCCTGATGCATGCTCAATAATCCAGGTAGAAAAATCCAAAAAAGTTCAATCTGGTCCTCTGGACATTCAAAAAAACAAAA